TTAGAAAATAATGAGATTCCCCTTTGTATCAATTTTGTATCTATTCGCATAAACGCCTACACGAATAGCGATATATAGAGCCTCATTTCAAATAAACTTCCCTCCCCCAAATATCTGTAAACAAATCTAATAGAATTCTCAACAGATCTATTAATGCAGACACTTTTTTTTCTAACCTGGTTGGGACCAGTAAGCTTTTATGATCACGAAAAAACACATTTCAGCGGTAATTATGTGTTCCACATTTACAATGGGATTAAGGGGCGTTTATTTGAGTATCTATAACGTATCAATTTTACACACAAAAAAAAAAAACAAAAACAAAAAACGCCTCCCTCGAATAAATGTCTCTCTTGAATAACTGACCCCTCAAAAACCCTTCTCAACAATAAACGCCCCGGGGCGTTTATTCGATTTAATAAGTAAGTATTTTTTTAGGTAGAATAGTATTTCTGTATATTGACTTTATTATTATTTTTTATATATTTAATTATTATTTTTTATGTATGTGATTTAGGCCTATGTAAACTAAGTGATTTATTTATATGGTTCTCTTTCTTGTAATGTGTCCATTGTGTGAGTTTTGCATATCAATTTATATAATGTTATGGCATTTTATGTTTAACAGTTTTCTTTTGTAATTGACTCGATTCAGTGTCAATATATTTTATGAACAAACCAAAATTGAATGAATGAATCCCTTAAGATTCTCGTTTAAATAAAGAAATGTTCTAGGCCTACTTTTTTTGTTTTATTAATACAGTGGTAAATATAATAATTGCATATAAATATTTTTCTCGCTTATATTATTATTGGTGTCTAACCCAATTGAGTTATTGTACCAAGTGATATACACCATACCCTCGCATTTTACTATTTCAAGGTCGTGATATATCACACGATAGAAAAACTTCAACTATAGAGAAACATCTGCAGTAGTGATCTTAAAGATCGTTTTGAAGAAAAGCGTCCCCATCAGGATTCGAACCAAAACATTTTGAATATCGTTTCGATGCTCTGCCAACTGAGATATAAGACAAAGTGGTGTACACATTGTTCAAGTTTTATAAAAGTAACTTGGTAGAATGAGAAAAGTTTTGCTTGATCTATAATACTTAGGTCGTTTGTGGAAATAGTATGCCTTAATTATTTACTTTGGACCATAAAAAGTAACTCATTGGAACGTTGTAGGTCTATGTGATGAGGAAGTTCAATGGGGTACCGTGATTACAATGACTAAAGCGTGTATCAACAAAACGTTGAACGTTGGACGGGCGACCACATCACAAAGCACCAATAACAAGTGATTTAACTACATTTTATAAACAAGAGCTACAAGACTAGAAAGTGAAGTTGAAAACAAACCAGATGAAGACTTGTTTTTTGAAGCAATTAGTATAGACAAAAGGACATTTAACAAACATTCAAAAGCAAACCGAATAAGTAGGCCTACTTTTAACGGACATTCAGAAGCAAACCTAAGCCTACCTAAACACCGAAATCGTGTGTTGTTGAATGTCAGAAATCAACAAAAGCACGCCCATTTGATTTTTTGTGTAAACTTCCTGGTTTTAAAATATACTTCTATTCTCATACTAGTGACGCAGTATGCAGCAGCAATTGACGAAATGCATCCTTATTCTTGCTTGGACAATGGCAATTGGAGCACAGTGTCCTTCGTAAGTTATTTTTATCCATTACTTTTACAGCGCTAATTCTATTACAACCGATCAAATGCCTTGTTGATGAGAATCATGTTCATCATAATTCAGGGGTGGCACCAGTGGGACCGGAGGGGTTATGGCACCCTTGATTGAAACACATAAATTGTCACAGTTCCGGAGGACACGCCCCTTGGATCATTTTCGAGAGGTTTTGAGCGACGCCCGATCACGCCCACTTACGTTCTTGTTGGAAACGTCGTCCCCTCAGGCAAATTCTGGCACCATCCCTGTCATAATTCCTAGGTTCTAGGCATGGTAAGATGTGTATCTAAATTATAATATACGGTCAAACTAAACGGTTCAACTTATAAAACGTGACGTTGACCACTTGATGTTCGATTTCATATTATTAGAGGAAGTGTTGACAGATAAGGCCCCATAAAAATAAATATTAGTTTATCACCCTATCAAAGAATAAAAACTGATGAGGGAGGGAGGTTTTTTTTTTGCTAATTCCGCCCCCATTTTACCGATGATCACAAGTAAATCAATGTTTAGAGACACATATATAAAAAGTCATAAGAATGGAATCAAATTTATATTTAAAAAATATGTTTTTGTTGTACCAGTAAGCATATTTGCAAGAAACCCTGAGCTTTTCAAGTGAAAAAAGATGGAAGAAGGACCATTTAACATAAAAATATATGTTGATTGAAAAAAAAAATCAGATTTTTCCCAAAAGTGATGAGGGAGCGGGTGATAAACTAATAAAAAATGTTTATGGGGCCTAAGCACTCGCTGTTGAGGATGACTCAGTTGGCTAAACTGGTGGTGGCATCTGTGTGTGCGCTGATCAATAGAGATCTCTTGGTCACCGGTTCAATTTATATCGCTGCTTTCATTGTGTTTCAGCTAGAGGGCTGAAATGCAAGTTTCAAAAGTACATCGTCTTTCAGATGAGGCGTTTAAGCCGTTGGTCCCGTGTGCAAAATGGCCCATTTGCAAGTTAAGGAACGCAGTGCACTCTTTGGAAAAGAGTATAGGGGATTTCATCCCGATGTACTGCCCAATTCACCACCAGAAGGACCCACCTGTAGATAAGGCTACGGACTTTCGTGGGTTATCCTTCTGTATCACACCGAAGAAATCCAATCTAATACAACGGACTCAATACTGATCATATTACAGTAGGTTAACAGGCCTACCATTAATTCCGAAGACAGATTAATTCCACACCTGTGACCTATGTAAGCCGGAGACGGGCCGGAGACGGATCCACGTACTTCGGTGGCGGACCAACCGTTCAGAGACATCAGATTCGTTTTTTAGAGGGTACACGGGGGAAAAGATACTGATTCAATTAATTATTTAAAAAATGTCATCAAAGCTCAATTATACTAACATTTAGGCCTATTTTTATATATTTTCAGGTGGTTTAAGTGTTCAGGTACACAATCGTGTTACCTGATATACCCCACTGACAATGGTTGGAAATATCAAGATCCAGACGAAAGAATTCGTAACGCAGGCATGAATTATAACTATATTTTTTCTTTAACACAAATTGATTAATAAATGCATATTTTATTCTAAATATAGGCTATGCTATTTATTTCATTCTTTCTTGAGAACAAGTTGCTCACCAATTATAGGACGGAATGACGTCTAAACGGTATATCACACCGAATTCGAGTCAACTCGGCCCCAAATCAACTCGGCCCCATTCAACTCGGCCCCAATTCAACTCGGCCCCAATTTAACTCGGCCCCAAGTCAACTCGGCCTCAAGTCAACTCGGCCCCCAAGTCAACTCGGCTTCAAGTAGTCAACTCGGCCCCAATTAACTGTGTATTTACGAAATATTTACCAAAAGAGATTTGAATGCAAAGTCAAAACTAAAGTGTTTTATGTCGTCGCTTTCTTTTTCTTTTCATTTACCCACTTAACAATAATTAAAAATGCATTTATAAAAATAATATAAAAATAATATAAATAATAACAATGCAAAAAGGTATAATAGAACTAATGACAATGGTCATGGTCGATGGTCATATATTTATATAGCGCCTTCCACAGAAAACCGTCTCAAGGTGCTTCTTGAAGCCACAAAAAAAAAAAAAAAAAAAAAAAGAAAAAAGGGGGGGGGATGCGATATGATAACAAAAATAATGATATAATCATGACAATACTTAATGAGTAATAGACATATTAAATATACTTATTAAATGTACTTATATATATATACTTATGTATATATACTTATATGATATGCCTATAAATCAGTATTATATCGGTATTATCATTAATTTTTATGTTATGCCTTTTTATTAATATTATTTTAATATTATTTTTTATTAATGCTGGCTTTGTTATTGTAAATGAAAAAAGAGTAACAAGGGCAACGATTCAAAACACTTTAATTGTGGCATAGTTTGGCTTTGCATTCAAATTTCTTTTGTTTATTTCGTAAATATACAGTAGAATTGGGGCCGAGTTAACTTGAGGCCGAGTTGACTACTTGGGGCCGACTTAACTTGGGACCGAGTTAACTTGGGGCCGAGTTGACTTGAGGCCGAGTTGACATGGGGCCGAGTTGACTTGGGGCCGAGTTGACTTGGGGCCGAGATGACATGGGACCGAGTTGACCTGCTTCCATCACACCATGTGGCTAATATTTATCATGAGAAAAACAACGTAAATAAGGTAAGACTTAAACTCAGACCCGTGGATTGTAAGGCAAGTACGGTGTCAATAAACAACACACCGCAGCTTCACTTTAAATATTAATGAATGCATTTTCATTGCCTCCTATATCAAAGGCTTATTATATAATTTTGTGTACAATGATTTAGGAATATATTTACGAATACGTTTATTGAATTTAGAGGCCACCTTATAATCATTATAAGAAGAACTAATGCTGTCTCTTAT